CTCGGTGACCAGTTTTATTCATGCCTACCCGTGTAATTAGCGTACCATGCTTAAAACCAGCATAAGAGCAGTGTTTAGGCAGAAGCGGAGTCATGTGTCCCTTTAACAAAACAAGGATGTGAGGCGTTGGTTATTGTACGTTGACGTAATCATTGCCCAGTCATTCAATTCTGGAGCATATTTGCTGATGTATTATCACTTGCTAACAGCTTGAAGTGTTCCTCCCTCGGTCCGTTGTATATTCGCCAGCCCTGTTTTAAAAACTGGAGAAGCTAAAGAATGTAAGCTAGAGAAAAAGGCTAGAGAAAGCTGGGGCCAAAAGCTAGAGACGGTACGAGGTAGTCGAGGGGTGGCTGATCAGTGCCTTAATGACGGCCGGCTGTCCCGAGGCGGTCTCGATCCGAAGACGGCGGGAATGCTCCGAGACGGCTAAGAGGCCACTGATTGGTGGGCTGTCCAGAGACCGTCAGGGGGACTCAAACCAAGACGGTCTACCTGAATGGTGGACGCTGATGGACCGTTCGCCGACGGACACTGAGGGAGGGGGGGGGGGGGGCGGGGGGCGGTAGTGCACGGAGTGGTGTCTGGAACAGCTGAAGAAATGCCAAATGGCTATCCCGCTCTCTACCATCTCCCTACTCCCATCCCCCTCCCCTCCCCCCCCCGCCGGAAGATGATGAGAAAACTATAAGGATTAAGGATCAGTGGTGGTTATGATAAGGTGGTAGACGTATAATTTGGGGACTTGCTCCGTAAATTTAGGCTGCATTCAAAGCCATCAACGTAATGATACCTAGTGGAAGCATGAACTAGTGAAATTGCCCGAGCTGCAAATTAAACCCTAGACTTCTCGTTCTGAAAATCGCATTGGGCCACGTTTGCCGATGACCCAGCCAGCAGTAAAGGAGCAGCTCATATATCTGATGTGAGCAATGGCATGTATGCATGCGACGCTGCAGACATAAAACCAAATAGACCTGATCCAACGACGCCGTTCCATGCATGGCAATTTCGCCGCCTTGTGACTTGAAAGAAACATCGACCGAAACTGAGTGACGGAAAAGCTTCCCTTCATCACTTTTGACAATAAAAACGCCATAATCAGCACACAGACAGGTGAAACCGCTTTTACAACCGACTTTCTGGCAGATGTTTGCGCACAGGGCTCCTGGTGGAAGTGCACGTCCTGTGGCAGTTGTGACGGCATTTCTCGCCGACGAGCCGCCACGCCCGACTCAGTTCCGCGCCACTCTCGGTGATGACGTGGGCCGACGGCCGTTCGGCCGATTGGTCGACATATGGCCGCCATAATGGCTGGCTTAGTGCAGGCCACTGAGCTGGGCGCCGGCCGTGCACCTGCCGACCGGCTGTGCGTCGGAGGGCGCCGTAATTCAGCCCCACGCCGCCGCCGCTGCCTCCTGAATGCGCCGTTTGGGCCTCGCGGTAATCGATCCGATTCAGGGACCGCGGCACGGACTGGAAACCCTTCGAGGACATTTGGTCGCAAGGAAGGCTATAGAAACGTGGGTTTATAAACTGCATGGATGGTTTGAAGACGATTTCACAGCCGGTCTGGGAGGCTTTGCTTTTTTAGGAGATTTTTTATTCTGATGAATGCGGTGCTTTTTTATTCGCCATCTCAAAATTAGCTTATTTCGGCTGTGTAACTTAATTCGGCTGTGTGTTCGGCTGTGCAAAATTAATAATAAGCCTTTCGCAACGCTCATCATGACTAACACATTGCAATCCTGTTGACCATTTTCGCCGCGCTACGACCGGTCTTAGGTTTAGTTGAAGGGAGTTCATGGAAAGTTACGTGGACAGGTGAGACTGCTCCACCAATCCCGACAAGCCGCGTACAATTAAGCTCTGCGCATAGTTGTTTACATGGGCTCATAGAGCACATGGGCCATACTTCAAAAAAAAGCATTTTTTGCGTACAATTTACCTGAAAATCCGACATGCGTACATTACATACATTGGCCATCGGGCGACAGATGTAATTCATGCAATGATGTCGAGGCAGCATCTGGACGAGGAGCAACAGGGACACATCGTCAACCAACTAGTGCAAGACCGTATGAGCTAGAAAGTACAGACGTCATATACACATGTTCAGTATAGTCATGCAATCCCTTCGCTAATGCGTCTAGTCTAAGCGAGATTTCCAATGTTTTCCTGAGGGTGTTTTGCGCAAATTTAGGTTCACGCAATTGATGAATAAAAAAGGAAACATTTAAAAGAAATGTCTCACATTTATGTGGGGTTTGTCACTGAACTAGCCATCTTGAAGACCATTCGGCGCTGTTTACATATTTTATATATTATATTGCCTATTATATATTTTAAGACATAATACTATATAATAGTCGGTATATATCATAAGTATATACAAATATATATATATATATATATATATATATATATATATCAGTTAACAATCCTGCCTATATAGTAAGACCCAAGCTCCCTTAGCTTCTGAACCACACTGCCCGCGAAAATGGGAAAGGTATGTCGGAGAGAGTGTTTCAGTCACCTTGGCATTCATGACGTCAAAATGACGTCACTTCCAATCCTGTCATTCCATAAGCCAAGCGGCGATCAAGGCCAAGAAAATATAATTGTCGAGGCGTTCATATCTGATGTTCGTGAGCGCGATTTCTAGACATAATGACAGTCAATTGGCTAACAGTGTTGTGCAAAGTACGATAACGTAACCAAGCCATGCCGTATTAAAGGGTATATTTACTAAACAGAGAATTGTGCTGTCTAGAGCAGTCTTTTCCACTTAAAAACCATTCCAATAGTTATACGTGAGCTGGTTTCATCATATCTCATGCTTGCTTAGATATATTCAAACGTGAAATATTCCCTTTAACACATCTACCAAAAAGCGTGACGTACCTAAGCTTTTGAGGCCATGGGGTTGCCATGCACCAGTAAAAAATCAAGCTTCAACCACAACGCGCCTATTCTTATCATCGCGCAATATACGTGACACATGTTCAGACGAAGTAAATATTCGTACTACCCTCGTCAGTGGTTCACACCAGGTGTCGGCAGGCCAGCTGACTGGTCTCCGTCAGGTGTCGGTCGGTCCTGAAGATGTTTCGCGTCTATCCACGCGATACATGAGGCGCAGTCTTGTTTGGTTTGGAACAGAGCTAGTTGTCACCCAGGCCGCCTGCCACGACGTACCAGGTGGCGGCTGCGCAGCGGGCCTGGGAGAGGGAGCGGGCTGTGTGCGGATCTCCAGCTGTGCTGCTGCTGCTAAATGGAAATACTAAGGTGACAACCCGACCCGGAACAAGACTGAGCAATGATTTGTTGGTGCCTGCAGTCGTTTTTATGATTCGCTCCCAATGTTCTCCCAATTTGCTCGTCGATTTACTCCCAATTAAATCAGTGCATGTACTGCCGATGTACGAACAAAATGTGCACAATCGCGGCACGATTTGCTATACAGTAGGAACGCAACCATTCGGGCTGACATTCACCAGCCATCCATCCACCTGCCTGGGTGGGGTTGCTCGAAACAGACTGAGTCCAATTACGTGAACTCCTGCCGGAGCGTCTGCCGCTGGCTGACGGACCGCCGTCTCGCTCCCGTCATTTGCAGAGGTCACGTGTCTCTCCGATGACGCCGCCGCGCCCCCGGTCCGACCAGGCGCCGTTGTGGCGCTTTATCTGTGCGTGCGCTTTGAAAACGGCAGATGAAAAACCAAATCAAAAACAAAATCATGTAACTGCAAGCTTCTAAGTACCGCGGTGTGCAAGGCAGTTAGGTGTAAGGTGTAAGGTGGCTAGGTAAGGCGGTGAGCGGTGTCCACTAGCATTTCGGTGACCGGAGGGCGTTAAAGTCGCCGCGCGCTTAGCCATCTATGATAGAAGATAGTTTACGTCAGACGTAAAACTTGATAGCTGATAGCAGCATTACCACCGCCCACAAAAAAAAAATACTGACTTGGGATATATTCACCAATCGCGGCAAAAGTGCATGTTGTGTCGTAGACCAAGTTCCTACACTCAAAACTTCGCCAACAACGAAACTCAATGCCGTGTGACCAGGGGTGCCACGTTCTGCAGTCTGTTGGGACGGGGTTCAGCCGACAGGGTTGACCTAAGCTATCCCAAAGCTTGATTTCTCCTCGGATTTCAGTCACTTTTAAAGAGTGTTCCGTTTTCCGCACCTTCGCCGATTGTTAATCATATACGTGCAATGTGATCGGTGCTGCCAGCTCTCTCGAAATATCTCTGAATAGTTCTTATTTCGATTAGAAGTAGCCATTCCAAGAAGGGAAATCCCATTGGACTCGCTGGCCACCACTATGGAGGTAATACTTTTGATTTGCTTTGCTTTTTCTAACGCGTGTATGCTATATTTGCAATCCACTTATTGCTCAAAATATTCGTGCAACAAATGCTACACTGTTGTACAGATACACATGCTAAGTTGAAAAGCTATTTTCGGAAAAGATGTTCAGATATGAGGCCATCCCGCGCGATTTAGCTGAGTCATGCCATGACTTTGATTCCTCCCTACGACGTTTATCAGCCTTTATTGAAGCGCGTTTTGGCTTCGGGAAACAGATGTATCACAGCCTATAGTGACACACTAGCTCAAACTTCAACCAGTGCGCTTTCCGGTAGATGACCGACGCCGCCCACTCTGCCAATAGCAAACGTGCATTTGTACATCTGTCCCCGCGCGCAGCCCGTCCCGTCCCCGGTCCGCCGCAGTGGCGCCACCTGTCGAAACGCCGGCCCAGTGTGCGGTGGAGGAGGTCTCGGGGGCCGACCGCCCACGCCCGGCCGGCACCCGGCTCACCGCTGCGTCGTCTGGCGGAAAACCACGCAACGCATGCATGCATAGCACGCACGGACGTCATGATCTGTTTTGTCTGGTGCATAGATAGCTGTCCGACAGCAGCCGGTCTCGATTTTCTGGTCCGTCATGCACGGCGGTTTTGCTTGAATCCAGCTGTCCGAAAGAAAATGGCGCATCACGGCAGCGTGTATTATCCACAGCAGAGCGCGATACAGGGCGCGATACAGGGCGGCGATACACAGCGCAGAGGGAGTGTGTAAATGACCAGGAAGACTGCCGTATTGCGGTCAGAGCGAGACAGAAGACCAGCAGGGGCAGGTGCACCTGCACAAGACATGTGAAGGTTGATTTCCACGAACCGCGTAGGCCACCAGCGGAACTCCCTTTCCATTCAACCCCGTTTTGAGACTCCCATATAAGCGTTCTTGAGGAAGCAAGGGTTCTGGCGGTCTTTTTAACCACACTGAAACCTGCACATTGCAAAAACGCATGTAACTTGGTTGACTAAGACGGCAGCACACCTGAGAGTGACACTCCGAGTGGATTAAAGCTATCATACCCATCATTCGCCACGAGCGTTCTGCTGCCTTTCATTATGACCAACCAAACTTGCATGATCATGATTAGTAAGATCAGATCATCCAGTATTCAGATCAAGACACGAAGGTCAATTTAGAAATTTACTTGTGCTATTTTAACAAATTCAATCAAAAATAATTAACACGTGCAAATGCACGCTGCGACATTATGATTCATCGGGAACAAGCATAACCAATACGTTTGATGAACACCCCGCGCGAACGCTGAAGTCTAGACATGCCAGCACCAGCATAAAGCAGGCTACGTTAAGTCCAAACCAGTCAAGGTACCAGACTGTGATGCAGCCAACACAGGCCAAATTTTGCTGGTGCCTCCAACGTTCCGGCATTACAAGCTCATGCCCTCCTGCCGGTAGTGATAAGATACCGGCTGACGGTGTTGTGGCCCAGAAACGTCGACTCCAATTGATACATTCGATGGTCCAGGACAGCCTCGCAACAGAGCGCACGATTTCGACTGAACAAGTAAACTTTCATCCCCAACAAAGCGAGGACTGAGAAATTGCCTCTTCTGCGCCTTGTCTTTGACCGTGACTCTTTCGAATAAAATAATGAAATGGAAATACCCGGCGGTGCGCTCCTGCCCCAAAGGGGTCATACTAAGGTAAACGGTACGCAGATTTATTACAGCGTATGGAGGACTTCCTGGCAAAAAGACCCCAGGGCTCCGCGGAGTACATCCGAACTTCACACGTATTTAACTTGCAGCGGGCAAGAGCGGCTACAGCGTGCTTACCTCTAGAGGCATCAACTCGGCGAACTACCGCCAACGAGGTTCGGCTGTCCACTACCCAGTAACAATGTTAACTCGAGACACGACACCACGACTAGGCCCAGTAGACGAATGCATGCTCCAGTCATTAGTTCACATTCCCTCAACATTCCCATCACTGACGATTAACAACAAACCACCTGCTCTAGCAGTACCCAAAACGTCAAACGGGTCTGTTCTACGATCTACGCCGCCTACTGGTGTGGAAATCAATTAGGAAGACACACTGCTGACCACCGCAAGCAACAACATCGAGATTCTACATCAAAACTATTACAAAGTCCCCGGAAGGAACAACTAACACTCCCGTCTTCCTCATTAGGCCAGCGTCATCATCCACAGAAGTCAAAAACCACGTTGGCAGCGCCCAAGGCCGAGGCACGAGGCCAAGTCCGAAACGGCACCTCTGCACATGACTAGCTATCTTTGGAGAAAACGCCGTAAAACGAACAGGACAAGCGACAATACGACACGAAACAACAGCAAAAAAAACAACATACAAATCAAAGCGACCCTGGCAAGCGACTAGAACACCGGCACAGGACGGGTCTAGTCTGACCGGTAGTGCTCAGTTTGGACCACGTGGGGCTGCGCGCCTTGCCACCAAACAGTAGCGCTCAATTTGGGCCATGCGGGGCTGCGCGCCCGGCGACCGACAGGCGCTGCAGGCCCCAGTCGTGACTAGCAGCAACGACCGGCTTCACGTTCAGGTGGCTACTGGCTGGCTGTGCGTGCACAGCGGGCAGACAACGTCCGGCTGTGAGGGGGTCAAAGGCAGGCGCGCCTATTAGCTGTCGCATACTGGCCAGCTGGTCCGTCCGCAAACAACTATGGGGTCCAGAAAGGGGAGCTACCGGCGGACAAGTGGCCATGTCCAGCTGTTTGGTGGTGATATTGGTCGCCGCTGCTGATAACACGCGCAGCTTGTCACAGAGTCTGTCAGCCCGCAAGTCTTCCAAATGTCTCATCGTCCTGACACTCTTACATAAAGCCCTCCAGGCTGACAGCCTTGTAGAACTCCCGCCGGGTTCACAGAACCAGAGCGGCCGCGGTCTTTTCCACAATATCAAAGGTCATACCTAGAATCTCGGCACCCCAGGAATCTCACGCCGCACGGATACATGCAGCACCCGTCCACCAGCCTGGTACAAAGAAACCTCCAACCAATCGAGCACTCCTGTCAATCTCCAATCGGACTCGTGCTATCGTCCGCATCATGCTCCCCGAAATCGCGCTAGCCCCAGCCAATCCCGAGCCACCTCATCCGAGCGCGTCGCGCTGTCAGCGATCCGTCAGCCGACCAGACATTGGCGGTAATGATATATCCAGCAACCTGCACGCCTCCAGGTATTCACGTCGTACAAGAACCTCATGGATCTCCGCGTGAGAACAGCTTCAGAAAGACCCGCCAGCCTGCCCGCTATGCTCGCGCTGCAGCAGGGCCCCGAACCGGCTCCAGAGCAGACAGGAGCCGTCCGGCTCGCTCCGCGGGCGGGCCAGCAGCACACACACGCTGGGGGAGGGACCCAGCCGGCTCCAGAGCAGACAGGAGCCGTCCGGCATCCTCCGCGGGCGGGCCAGCAGCACACACACGCTGGAGGAGGGACCCAGCCGGCTCCAGAGCAGACAGGAGCCGTCCGGCTCGCTCCGCGAGCGGGCCCACACCACACCCCGCGCCGCGGCGGCAGGGGGTGTGCTGCCCAACCAGCTTCAGTGCGCGGGGGACGGACGTCAGCACGAGGCGTCAGATGAGCCAGACGCCCGGCGCGGCAGCCGCGTCCCCCGAGGCCGAATCTCAGGAGCGACGGCTGCAACAGACGAGCGCCAGGTGTCGGCCACCGGGACAGCACGAGGCGGCTCCGCTGGTGACCGGTGGGAGCACACCCCAGGCTGGAGTCACCAATAACCGCTGACAGGCGGCAGTTTAGGTCACGCAACCCCACGAAAACTGATGCTGTCGTGTTTCTGGGCGTTTGTGCTGCCCAAAGACGGACGGCATAGCTAGTTTGCGTGCCAGCCGGCTCAGCGCACTGCCACGTGCGGTACGCTACACCAGTGTGAGCGAGTGCGGCAGGCTCGCTGCCCAGGAGTGACTGCCCTGCCAGCCCAGACCGTGCTAGCATGATACTGACTCATGTCACCCATGACAGGACGGGGCGGCCCGTCCCCTCCTCGGCCACCCGGCCCACCTGAGGCTGGGGTAGGGCGGCGGCTGCAGCGGGCCGAAGCCGCCGCTGTCGGGCGTGGTCGCGCCGCTCTCGCTCAGCGTCAGCCCGTCCCGGTAGGGCGTCAGCCGGGGCGACACGTCGCGCAGCAGGGAGCGCTCGCGGCGCGCGCTGTCGCCCTCGCTCTGCTCGGCCAGCCGCGGAGAGACGTCCCGCAGCGGCGCGCGGCGCAGGGTGCCGGCCTGAGAGCGCGGCAGCGAGCCAGCCGCGTACTGCACCATCTGGATCTCGGTGGGGCGGCGCCTGCGGCACGGCACGGGCGCCCGTCAGCCGGGCACCACGGGCGCCGGTCAGCCGGGCACGCGCGTCGGCGCAGCCGCGGCGGAGGCCAGACACACTCGGGCTCGGGGCGCGCCACCGCTCAGCACACAAGCCCGTCCTGGAGCAGCAGCACAGCCGGGCACGCGTCTGTAATGGACTGGATTCTGGGGATTGCAGGACACGCAATCAAACGTGGAACGTCGGCAACCGACATGATAGCATTATCCAGCGTGAATTTCCAAACGCGTATACGTCTCCATTCGGTCGTTTGCGCAGAGATGGCGATGGTGAAACCGGATATGAATGACAAGAATGCAGCTTGAGGAAACGGACGAGCGACTCAGCATGAAGAAGACGCCAGGACAGACTAACCTAATGGCAGACATTAGTCATGCAATCTCGAACGCGTTTGCTAAGCTCAGTGTCGTGAGGCTAACGCCCGAAGCAAGGAGGTTAGGAACTACCAGTATGATAAAACCGCTGACAGCCTAGGTTCAGAGGCAGGCTTTGTGTACATACGTCACAGCGTGCACCCTATGGACGCAACAAACACGGCAAGCAGAGGCACACACGCAGCCATCCGGATCAAAGTGAGGGGTAAGTAAGCGTAGATGTCCTGTGGCCGTAGTTTCTGTTGGTGAGTGGTGTTAGCGAACCATACACTTTCACGTGCAGTTAGTTGGCATCGCTCCCCTGTGGGGGCAATCTCAGTTAGTGGGGAATACCTCACCTCACAAACACCGAGAACACGTTATCAAAAAATTCTCCGTCGCTCTCCGTCTCCCTGCGGGCACACGGCGCAGGTCAGCGACTGATCCTGCCACGACCGCCAGCGTCCCTGGCAAACGGCGCTGGTCAGCGACTGATCTTGTCACACGACCGCCGGCGTCCCTGGCAAACGGCGCTGGTCAGCGACTGATCCTGCCACGACCGCCAGCGGCTGATCTTGTCACACGACAGCCAGCGTCCCTGGCAAACGACGCTGGCCAGCGGCTGATCCTGCCATACGACCGCCGTCGTCCCTGGCGAACGGCACTGGTCAGCGACTGATCTTGCCATACGACCGCCAGCGTCCCTGGCAAACGCGTCATAAGCCACCATCACGAGAAACACGCCCTCGCACATCAGCACCGCTAGAAATGCGAACCGAGTCATCCACAGCGCACTGCTGTCCCAGACATAATTAAAACAGCTCCGAGAAAACGGCATGGACCTGGACCGCCGGATCTCGATAGACTTGGTCTTCTGCGAATACAGTGTCAAACAGTATCAACCCGACCAAAGGTGACGCAGGTCAGTGCTATCTGTAAACAGCCGCGGCACCCACGTTATGACGCATGCCGCCACCTTCCGCGACTGCTCAAAAGTGCGTACGTTCGAACTGGCAAAACATGCATAGACAGCGCCCTCTGTGAACACTTCTGTTATTTAACAGTTACAAATGCTCGCTTCAAGTGCGCACTATCGCAGTTCAGTGCCATCTGTGAACGCCATCGGTACTCAAAGTGTACAGATGTTCGCCGTGGGAGCACACTGACGCAGCCCGGTGCCAGCTGTGAACGCCATCGGTGCTCAAAGTGTACAGATGTTCGCCGTGGGAGCACACTGACGCAGCCCGGTGCCAGCTGTGAACGCCCACGGTACTCACAGGTGCTCGCCCTGGCAGCACATGATGCAGGTGAGCGTGGCGCAGAGCACCAGCGCCACCAGCAGCGGAATGCCGATGGTGGTGAGGAAGTCGGAGGTGTAGCCGCGCGCCGGCACGGCCGCCCGGAGCGGCAGCAGCAGCGGCGGCTCCGGCGGCGGCGGCGAGGCGGTCAGCGGCGGCGGCGGCGGACTGGCCGCGGGCCGCTCGGTCGGCAGCGCCAGCTCGCCGCTCTCAAACTGTCCGCACAGGCGCGCGGTGGGGCGATGGCGCCGACACGGCGGCCGACGCGCTCCGCTCAGCGGACTCCGCCCGACACACCAGGGCTCGGCGACAGGCCGCCACCGACGCCTGCTGATGTGCTCAGGACATAAGACACTGGACGGGACTGGCTCCGACTCGTGCACACTACAGAGCAAGAAAATAACGGGATATGTCGATGAACGCGAAAACGATCCGCAGCTTTACAATGAACATAACAGGACAATGGCAGCCGCCCCAAGACTCAGGCGTGACATTGACGATACTCTCGAAAAATGATCGCATGCCTCGCGTCGCACCCCTGCGACCAGACGCCTCCAGCATCGCCAGCAAACCCCGGCACCGTCGTCACCGGCCGCGGCCAGACGCCCCACTCACCAGCTTGAACTGGCACCAGTCGACGAGGAAGCCACGCTGGCGGAAGTGGCGCTCGGCGCTGCTGCGCGTGAAGTCGCGCGGGCAGGGCACACGCGCCCACAGCGGCCGCACCTGGCGCTGCAGGTGGCGCAGCGGCGCCGAGAAGGCGGCGCGGCTGGCCAGACGCAAGCAGCACGCCGGCGCTGCTGCCGGGCAGCGGGGCCGGCGCGCCAAGGCCGGCCCGCTCCAGCCAGGTCAGCCGCAGGTCGGCCCCGCCCTGCGGCCACAGCACCTGCCGCGCGGCGCCGACCGGTCACCGCCGGCCCGGCGTTCGCCCAACTTGGCAAGGCTCCAAGCGGCATCCAACGCCATGACACGGCCGGTCCACGCCAGCCCGACCCTCCCGGCGATAAGCACGAGTACTCCGGCGCTGTCTAGACGCAACGCTCCTGTCTGACGCGAGGTGGACTCGCGGTGGACTCAAGAGTCCGGCGCTCTCACACCCAGCCACTGAGGCGGCATCCTGACAGGGGCATATGGCATCGATGCATTGCACACCTTCGTTATGAAAAACATGGTCATTGAACCATTCGGGAGAGAATAACAATGGTGCGAAATGTACTGCAGCCTTCAGCGCTTACCTCCCGAAATATTTCGTGGAGCCTATCCATGTTTGAGCCAAAAAACAGGTCCACAGGATTCATGTTGTTTATCTTCAGTTGCACCTCATGTGTTGGAGGATCTAGAAAAGTATACATGTGGTCACAATGCTAATGTGGAGATGCAAACATGAAGATAAACCATGAGCATTCACAAATGCCAAGTCACATCAACCAGACACGTTCTTTCCATGCCAAATAACCTTCTCTTTAACAATACGTTAATTAACCAAATGTCCGATGTAACCCGTGTGAGCTGATGGCTTGCTCACCTTCGTTTTCCAGGACCACGACGAACACCTCGCGGCGACTCGTTTCGTACGTACTCAGGTTCGTCACAATAACCTCCAACTAAAAACGTCACAATGGGCTGTCAGTGAGACGCCAGTGTACACGGGCATAATGACAATGCCTGTCACGCAGCCAGTCCAAGCACCATTCATTGCCAACATTGACGAGTTCGCACAAATAACGTTTCAACAACATCGCAGGTGTGAAAAAGGCGTTTTCCAAGATCAAACCGCCAAAGCGCAAGTATCTACACCGGCCATCTGCGTTCAGCCTGTTGTCCAGCGGATACAAACCAGCAGTCCATTACCGCACCTCAGCCTTCAGGTTCTGCGACACACCCATCAGGTGAGCCGCCGGGTCGGTGGCGGAGCGCTGCCAGCCCGCGCGGCAGGCCGCCACTGACCTGGAACTGCTCCACGTGCGGCGGTGGCACGCCGTAGACCACGCCGTTGCTGCGCTCCTGGCTAAAGTCATAAGAGAGCCAGGCCGGCAGGTCCGGCGCGTCCCGCACGCTCGGCGAGAACCGTAGCCCGGCCAACGGACCGGACTCCAGGCGATCCACCGGGAGGCGACGCTGGACCGCCTGCACCGAGGCCAGGCCGGGACGGGCTGTGGCCAAAGTAGGAAGTGGTTTGAAGGGCTGAGACCTCTTGCAACCTGAGCTGATTTTACAAAAAGCCTGCTCACATTCAGTCGCCTGTGGCATTTCAGAATTAAATTCCAAATGAGATACATCCTTTACAGCATACACAAACACTTATCACAACACAACACACACAAACCTCTGAATGCAACCCATACTTGACTCCTCATACACAACACATACACTAATCAGAAGAGAGCAGGGTTGTAACACTCTTTCAATGATGAATAATTAGGAGATCATACTGCCAGCTCTTTTACATCCTCAACAGGATGAAAATAGGTTGTTGGAGACAGGATGGAGAATCACCAAAAACACATCAATGGGACATTGGTGGGTTATAAAAGATTGGGTGGGGGTGATAAAAAGGCACCATTCACCATCAAGCAAGGAAAGGATTATTCCATGTAACAGTCAGAATAGGCCATGGTGGCCTGTGAAATTATGAACAGCAGAACATTGGAGAACAAAGGCATCAGGAGGATATGCTATCCAAGAGCAAAGTGTGGGTTACATTCAGAAGCTTCACATTGGTGCATTTAAAGTTAGGCTCTAAAAAGATCATGATCCAAATGCTCTTTGGCTTTAAACAGGAGACTTAAACAGAAGCTGCTACACATTTATGCTGGACTCTGTTGCATCCAAAGGCTTAGTTCATCTTGGTAATGCTTGATGTTTCCAACCATCCACAAATGTGGAATGCCATCAAAAATCACCCCTCATGCCTCTTTTCTTTGTTGGCATAGGATGAGACATATTAATAATCCAAGTAATAAATCAATATAATCTCTACAGGGCTTTACTCTGAGCAACCAAACAGGATGAGATAATGTGGTAATCAGTAGTGATATATTTCCTCTAGCATGCCTGTCTCAAAAATTTAACAAATTCTGATTAGTGAAAATGCCACATAACTAGCAATATTTGACCACAACAATTAGAAATGCTCTAATTGTCCCTTCAAACTATATCCACTATGGACTGGTGCCACCCTCAAGTAGAGGGTGGCCAATGAGTATTTTTATTGGCTTACAGACATCAGATGTGCTGGACAGGAGGCTGGCATCCAGCCTTAGTTTGAACACTTCACCATGTCGGGTTTCCATAGTTGTCGCATCTACTACAGACTGTTCAAGTTCACTGCCTTCTGCTGATGTCAGCAGAAGCAGAAGAAGCAGCATGACTGACTGTGGCAGTGGAAGCTCCATTTTCAGGACATTGCACAGCTGCAAAGGAAGGTTTTTTGTCATGCAAAACACCCCAATTTGCATTGTAGATGTGAAGCAAAATGTAGAAAATAGCAAGCACCACAATTGACCAAAACACACACTGAGTGGCTATTGGCTAATGAGAAAAATGGCCCCTTGCAAAGAGGCATTAAGATGTTGTTTGTCCATTTATGCAACCAACAAATATTGCAAGTTACACATCATTCAGACCTTCATTAGATATACAGGATGGCCTACTCTAGAGAACAGAAGATTTAGATAACTTATTCCCATGTAGGCCTATAAGACCTCCAACATGTAGTGCATCAAAGAGACAACTGGCATCGCAGATGGCGAACAAATATACTTGGATACTATTGCATCTAATGACAACATTGCCATGTTAAACAGACACAACTACCACAATCATGCAAAAGCCTTAGGCATCGTTTAAACATATAAAGTCACACGCATTAAACAAAAGAAATGAGGAACGCAATAAAACATACAAGTTCTAACAAGTAGCAACTATACCCACAAGCCCAGGCTATGACCTTCCTCTGAGGTTTCGAAAAAGAGCCGAAGAATTCTGTCTAAACTGTATCCAGTTATGTTTGCGAAGAGTTGGCGCAGCAGAACAATTAAATTATTTCTGACGCATTTGATGCGATGGTAGAGTACAAGCTATCAAATTTCATCAGTCGAGCATTCGCAGGCATTGGATGTAGTAGAATATATGTGCAAAACACGCCAGACATCATCTTGGGATAAGGTTGCATTTTCTATAAGGTAGGTTTGAGTGCAACAGCTTAGGTTCCCAGGGAGGGTAGGTAATACGAGATAACAAAGTGAGGTATGAAATGATTTTGGTGCACATTGCGGCATTGGCGGATCCAAGAGGGAGGGGCACGGGGCCGTGTCCCTCTTGGGCCTCGAATGCGTGGGTGTCGGGACAGGGGGGCAGGGGGCCAATCCCCCCACACACACTTTTCAAGGTGGGGGACCAGCAATGTTAACTATTCTCCCCCCCCCCGCACCTTTCAGATTTAAATTGCGTTCGGCTTACTTTTGTGCTACCATAAACATGCGTGCCAATTTACTTAGTTTTCCAGTCATATTCCTGAAGATGCGTCATCTTTTTCGTCTGCCTATTGGCCATCGCCTAGTGTCAGCCGCTGAGCCGACGCCACGCCGTCTATGGAGACTGCGACGCCGGGCGTCAAGGCTGTTTCTAAGATTTGCGAGCGCGCATGTTCAAACCTATGTCACGTAACTATTTGAGTAGTTAATCCTGGCTGAACGCAAAACAAACATTATACAAAACTAATTAATAAGGGTTCCTATGTTGATGCGGGGCCAACCGCGCGGGTCAGAATGCCTCCCGCGTCAAGAGCAACGTCATATGCATGATACGTATCCCTCTAAGCGACTCCGGATCGACCAGGGGATCACGCCTCGTGTCACCAGAATGGCAGCTGGAAGACACCCCGCGATAGGACGGAATGGCCCTTCAGCTCTTGACCGGGAGCAGTAATGTGCCCGTAATGTTTCACGCAAGGGGCCTCTTGCGCGGAAGGAAATAAAGGGTTCTCCTTGTTGTTGAACAGAGTGGGTCAAAATGAGTTTTAAAAAAACAAACAAGGCCATCCCATGTTTGTCTGAGAACGGTCATTCTTGACAAAATCGATTAGTGAAATAAGTTACATCAAAATGTTTGAACATGTGCGTCGGCAATCTCGGGAGCAAAGACTGCGATGGCCTAGACAGCAGCTTCAGTAAAACCGAGCGGCGTTGGCCACTGTAAGTGACACCAGGAGGCGGGCGCCGTGGTTGGTCCTTCCGATCAGCAGTTACAGCATGACAAAAAATAAACATTCCATCTTTGCTCTTTCAGTTCCATCACCAGATCTCAGCACCACTTCGCGATGCTGTGAGTGCCAGTTCGATCTCATCATCAATCTAAAAATCGCAAAGGTGAAATATCCGCCCAGACTACCTTCTAAATGTAAGATTACGTATCCTTAACCGTCCAAAAGTACTTCTTTCAGAAGCGTCATCATTTTTGTCCACCCCTTGACCACAGCTCAGTGTTATCCACTTGGCCGACGCTGCACGGTCTGTTGAGACTGCAATGCCTGGGTTCGAGGTTTTTGTTGCTAACATTTGCGAGCGTACATGCTCAAAACTACGTTGCATAATTTGTATCGCTAATCAATTTAAGTGCTCAGAGGTACTTCTTTCAGAACCGTCATCATTTTTGTCCACCTGTTGGCTACGGCTCAGTACTAGCCGCTGAGCCGACGCTGCGTGGCATACGGAGACTACAACGCCTGGCGTCGATGTTTTGTTGCTAAGCTTTGCGAGCGCGCTTGTTCAAAACTACGCTGCATACTTTGTATCGCTGATCGATTTTGCATGAATGTGGAACATTTCCAGAAAAGTATGGCTTGGCCATGTAATACACATTTTTACACATTTCGCTGCACAACTACATTTGCGGGGTCCTTAATATGGCTGTAGAACCCATAAAAAGGATATGATAAAGCTCTTGAATTGTATCGGTTTAGGGAGAGTCTCCCCAACCATTGCAAACTGAGAGCATCGGTGATCTATTCCATGCAGTTGTTCAACGCCTGATTTCTGGAGCTTTTTTACTTCAAAATACAAACTAGCGGACCTCGCGGTGGCTTCTGGTTTCTGCTTCCGTTTTAGTTACAAGTTGAAATTAACAATAAAACGAAAATAGCCTTGTTCTTGCTAACAACTAAGTTATATCCAGTGAACTTTTTTGGGGGGAAGTCACCATCAGTGGGGCTTTCGTCAACCTTGTGCCACCCCCCCCCCCCTTCCCCTTGGCAAGGTTCTGGCTACGTTCCTACCTACATACAAAAGTAAATCAAGCCCGTTACGTCGAATAAGGGGCAATTGAATGCCCGTTGGACCAATGCATGCCTAAGGCAGGCAGCTTCCCGAAAGTTTTTTTCCTCCGGTAGTGTGGTGTATGGGAAGATAATTTGGAACAAGATACTGCTGCGTAAGTCAAAAATATGTTTTACCCACCAGTAAGTAGTAATGCTGGTCCATCAATTTGCAGCAAAGTAGCCATAGGACCAGTTCGCAGTCAGTCCTGGGGGGGAGGGGGGGAGGGGGACAGCTGGGCCAGGGCAGAGGTTGCCGATGGCGGACGGGAGCAGGGCTCAGGTAACGCACATATGGCAAAAGAGTCTTCATTCTATGACCCGTTTTTCTTACCGGAAAAAAACTCTAGTTTTATGGTTTTCGTCGCATTGTTTTTGGCAGGTAGTGTCTGAAGCTACCGAATCTCTTTTCGCTTAAAATGCTGCAACAAATATTCTCTCTAGAAAACTAGTCCACGAAATCTAGGCGCATGAAAATTCAAAGGCACTATGGGCCATCGAATCGCATTCAAAATTCTGACTAGCCTATGATGAGGTCGTATTTTGGGCGTTCTCAACGACCCAAAATGTCTGCTGTCTGGTGAAATTTTGCGCCCCCTGGAAAAACAATGTTGAAATGGACGAATAATCGTGAGAGGCTGGATAGCCTTTTTACCAAATGACAGATGACTCGAAAAGACAAGATTGTGCCCAGTGAGAAACAGCTGTAGACGGAAATCTAGTACAGCAACATTAACATTAAACATAATAATAATATAATGTTCTGTGAATTAAGAGCAAACAACAACCTCCATCTTTACCCCTACCTCCCCCCCCCCCGGGTCAACGGGCTTGCTTCCCCGAGTTCCCCCCCCCACACACTTTTTGAAACGTTCCTGCGCCTAGGCTCGAATGTGCCCACAGGTTCTGAAGGGGCGAAAACTGGCCAAACGAATGCAAGTTTCAGCTCAAAATAACAAAACTGAACGCCTTTGGGCCTTCGAGCGATAAGGAACAGTCGCAAGCGAGTGTAAAGAGCCCGTGAGCACTTCAGAATAATTATTCGCTGATTGAGACAGCAATGATGGGGACAATTTGAGGGTGATTACGCTGCCACAGATCCTGCGCTGTTGTCAGGGACCCTATAGGTCTACTTTCCGGGGCGATCCGAGCGCTAAGAGCGGGGGCGGCGTATCCGATTTGGGATGTGGGGGCAGCTATTTTACGAAGGACTCCCCAAGGCGATGGGCCGCGACATTTCAGTGGGGGTATTTATTCTGTCGTAAAATCAGCGGCTGGTCGCCATTGTATCTCCGTGGATTACAGCGCCTGTCTCAACTCAGCTGCACCAGGGTGGTAAGATTACAGGTTCGAGTCGCTTCGGCACTCGCTATTTGTTCCTGACTAGGAACACCTGTGGCTGGGGCCAATGGCCGCCGAAGATTAACAGGGTCGGTCGAGCCGAACATCACGACAGGCTGAACTCTTGCCACAAAGCTCTGCCATTCAGCTGCGATCTTACAATCGGATGGTCGGTCGGCCAGAGTTTACACAGCAAGGTGCTGCTTAGCGTAGGCTCGGACCTTGGGAATCCACCAAATCCAGAATCCATCCAATTCAACGGACGATTTTGCCTGCGGTCATTTATTCACGCGAGACCAATCGGGGGGACGTTTTTCATGTCACGCGAAGCTACGAGACAGCTGCGCGTGCCAGGTCGACTCTCTGGTCGCCATACAGAAGACCACTAGGAAGACAATCGGTTTTTTCCGGGACATTAACCCAGCACCATTAGATCCAAATGAGCCATCTTTGCCTGGGGCACGGAGTCATCCATTGCAGTATGTGGGTATAAACATTTGGTGGGGTGCTCTGATTATTAGCTTCGAGACGCTAATTATTGTAGACCTTGAATGTGTCTGGATCTAACATCCCAACTGCTGCATTAACGGCGCTATTCTCTCAAAATATATCATAAGGGTCGAGAAGACAACAGAAAACAAAACACCAGATATGATACCCTGCTAGCGTTTACGAGCCGTCAGAGGTTGCAAGGTACGATTAAAACATGTTCACTTACGTGGAGAGCGTCTGTTGAATCTTGTCAGTGGTCACATGGCGATATGGCTGCATCAGTTTACGTCATCGTTATTCAGCGTTTACAATGCACGGTTAGAAACATCTCACGGACCTCACCAGGATACTTTTAAAATTAAACTTTGGAGCAGGTACACCTGTTAATGCTAATCAACAACCACGGACAAGTTTCGCTCCCAGTCGGACATAGCAAAACCCCGGAGACACCATGCCACGCTGTGACGTCGGTGACATTGCCACACTTCTGCCGCCCACACGCAGAGGTCCGCTTACCGGGGCGCCTGAGGACGACCTCACGCAAAATCTAATCAGGCTTAACACGCGCTCGGTTGGGGGGCCAAACTGACTCCCCGAAGGTTTTTCCAAAATGATTTTCGAACGACCCGGCATAGCTGCGCTAAATTCTGCCTAGCTGTAGACAGTTGATTAGCGGATTGTCTGGCATCACAAATTTAGATGTACCTTGAAAGGTCGCTGACCTATGGCAGGTCAAAGTCAGGCCATGTTTTCAGCAAAGGCAATTTCTAGAAAATCGTTCAAACTGATGCAACAACGGGTGTTTGACGAAGCCATACATCTTTGAAATGCTTTCTTAGGCAAAACAAGCATTTAATGAGCAAATTACGTCGACCT